TTCAAGGAGGGGCTGCAGCTCGTGCCTCTCGCTGGGATGATGTATGAACTCACTCTAAATTTGCTTCTGAATCAATAAATTTATTATTATTCATAAAAAAAAAAATGGTACTCTGTCCTTTTTTGGGAGGATACTTGGGTTGGAGAGGCTCCATTGAAGGACCTCTTCTCTTCTATGTTCTCTGTTTCAAGGTACAAAAAGGAGTCTGTGTCAAAGTTTTGTTCCTTTATGAATAATCCATTAACACCAAATTGGGACTTTGGGTTTCGTAGAGGTCTAAGGGAAGAGGAAATTGTGTCCCTAACAAATCTGCTAAGCCTACTTGATACAGTGTGTTTAGACCCTTTTGAACCCAATAAACGGATCTGGACACCCAAGCCAAATGGATCCTTCTCTTGCGCTTCTTTTTTTAAATCCATTACTCAATCTACCCCCATTCAGCCTTTCCCTTTTAAGGAAATCTGGTGTAGGCCTGTTCCCCCTTAGGTTATGTCTTTTTGCTGGGAAGTGCATTATGGGAAAATCAACACCTTAGACATTCTACAAAAGAGAAGACCTTATCTCTGTCTCTCACCTTCTTGGTGTATCCTTTGCAAGTCACATGGTGAGGACTGTAACCATCTACTAATATCCTATTCATTTACTGCAGAGTTATGGGAGTGGCTCTTCTCATTGTTTGGGTGCAGGTTGGTTAGGCCAGTGGATGCAAGTTTGATCTTTGATCCTGCTTTCTTCCCTTGGCGGCACAGAAGAGGAAGAATTATGTGGAGGTGTGCAAGAGCAGCACTGATCTGGTCCGTGTGGGAAGAAAGGAATACCAGAACTTTCTAAGAGAATGAGAGAAACCTAGAAGAGATGAAGGACTGCATTCTAAATAAGGTGATCCTATGGCTAAAATCACTGGACCTATTCCATCAATTATCATTTAATGATATTTGGAGGAATTGGTTAGCAGTGGCTAATTGTTCATCTAGAAAGACTAAAGTGAGTTTGACTTGGGAACCCCCTCCTGAAAGCTTTTTGAAGCTGAACTTCGATGGAAGTAGTCTTGGTAATCCAGGTCCGTCAGCGGTGGGAGGGGTACTGAGGAATGAGGCTGGGAATGTGGTTCTTATTTACTCTACTAGGGCGGAACTTGCAGCTGCTATCCAGGGAGTACAGCTAGCTATGCAGAGAGGTGTGGAACAACTGATAATAGAAGGGGACTCCAAGGTGGTAGTGGGATGGCTACAAAACCCGGACTCTATAGTGTGGTGTTTTAAGAATGAAATTAAAAAAGTCAACTGCCTGACAAGGAGCTTGACAGTGAGAATACAATGGGTGGGGAGATCAGCAAACTCTATGGCTGATGGTCTTGCAAAGCAAGGGGTAAACAGGGAAAGCTTATATTGGGCTCAATTGTAGATTGAATCTGTTTTCTTTTTGTCTTTCTTCCTGCTGTTAGGAGAGGACGCAGTTCGTGCCTCTCCATGGGAAGCTTGTAACTGCACTAATTCTCTATAATGAAACTTATCTTATTACTTATCAAAAAAAAAAAAAAGATGACCATTTAGAAAGTGATGATATCTTAGTTTCTGTAAGTGATAGCCCAAAAAGTGCTTCTCTTTTGGCATACAAGGAGAGATCAAAGCAGGTTTTGTTCACTTCTTGAAATTATTTATGCCTTTTTTATTGGAAACAATTACTTTTATTAAACTTTCGTTAAAGCAGCATAAGGAACATACAATGTCAATCACTCACAGCATGAGTTTTGGCCAAGGTATATAACACAGCCCAAAAAAGGTTCTCCCTAAGGGTCCCCTGCTTTGCCAAAGTATGAGCCAAAACCATTGGCTGACCTCCTTGTCCAATTGAAGGGTACTCCAGCTCCTCTTGCTAAGCAACCCATTGATCTAATATCTTTACCTGTAGAAATATAAATTCGTGGGGATACAGGAAACTATGAACCATTTAAAAACTGCAGTCCATTCAGTTTGTTCATGTAAAGTCTTGCCATTTGGGCTGTTCAACCAGTTTTGAGGATACAGAAGAAGTCATCTTGAGATGTTTATAATTCCTATATAAAGGATTCCAATAAGAGAATCTGACTGTTGACTGCCAAAGGCTTTTAACCATTTTCTTCTCAAAACATGGTCCATTTGGTGGGTACTAGCAGATCTTCTAATGAAAGCTTACGGAAATTTAAATATGCCCATATATTTGTGTTCACATCCAAGATGTATTAGTGCATGCATGTAATTTATCCTTACCTTTGCAACTGTAAGCCCAATTGGGCATGGTCGATGTGGAGATCTTGTTGCGAAGACCCCCATCCTGCCACCTTTCAGTCTTGGCACTCTCACCTATCCAAGTTAAACACTTTCAGCAACCTTTTTGTAGAATTCTTAAGAATATAAGAAAAAGATATCAGGCATCCTAAACCCTAACTAATCTATTAGAAAAAGTAGCAAACTGCATACTTTTGCTTTGAACTTTGACTTAGCTGGTTCGTTCCACAGCTTTTCCAAATCCGTATTTAAATGGAAAACATAAAGAATCCAGCAATGAGAGTATTCTCCTAGGCCTTCAAGTGCTGCTGGAGGAAACTGACCTGAATCAAATGCCAAGCATGCTCTAGCAAGAGGTACAAGCAAAGGTTGCCTTGGTGTCCCATTTCTGCATAATAAGAGGCAAAGGTAGTTTTCAGAACCTTTAATATAAATGTACATATTCCATGTCTGCAATCTATGTGAAAAAAATGAAAGGATATGTGGAATTAGGAAATGATGAGTGTTCCAGGTGATGAGTATCAACAGTTAGTCTAGGCTACCTCTCAGCAGAATACAGCTACCCTTGCCCACTCAGGTATGGCTTGTCTAGCATCCAAGTTCTCTCATTGGATTATTGACTCTAAAGTTTTTGATCATATGATAGGGACTCCAGGTGTGTTTTCTTCTCTTTCTTAGTCTTCTACATCACAAACTGTTACTCTCATTAATGGCTCCACATCTTCTATCTGTGGTATTGGTAATGTTGACATAGATTCATTATCCTTATTTTCAGTTTTGTATATTCCCAAATTCCCTTTCAACCTTATGTTTGATAGTAAATTGACCAAGTCTCTTAATCGCTCTATCACCTTTTACCCTTCTTTATGTGTCAGGATCCCAAAAAGGGGATGAAGATTGGTGGAGGGCATAAAGCTGGTGGACTGTATTATCTTGATCGTGGTGGTTCCTCAACAACTCTTCAGTCGTCCCTTTCTCCTCTCTAGTGGCACTACATGCTTGGTCATCCATCTCTTAAGTCACTTAAATTGTTCTATCATTGGGTCATCTTTCTACTTTGAAATGTTAGTTGTGTCAGTATGGGAAACACCATCGTGTTCCCTTTAATCCTAGGGTTGATAGTCATATATTGAGTCCCTTTTCTATGGTCCATCCGAACATTTGGGTCCAAATAAAATAGTGTCATACAATGGTTACAAGTATTTGTAACTTTTGTTGATGATTATTCAAGGATGACATGGCTTTATCTTATGAAAGAAAAGAGTGAATTGTTTTCTATTTTCCAAAGGTTTCATGTTGAAATTCACACTCAATTTGGTATGCACAATAATGGCCAGGAATTTTTTTTATACACCGTTTCAGCAATAATTGGAAAAACATGGCATTATCCAACAAACCTCATGTATTTACACCCCTCAGAAAAATGGGGTGGCTGAGAGAGAGAACCGCCATCTCTTAGAGACTACTAGGTCCCTTTTGCACCATATGAATGTACCCAAATATTTTTGGCAGTGACACACGCCTAGGCGTACAAGAGAAGCACATTTCTGGGTAAGCGCCCCGCCCAGATCCTAGGTGCAGCCCTTTCAAAAGGTGCACGCCTAGTGCGCTTTGTGCCTTAGCCCAAACGTGGGCCTTTTGAAACTTTGACGCTTTTTTGCTATTTTGTGTCTAGCGGCTAGGCTAGGGCTCCGCTCCCGGACCCCCGTGCCATGCCCCTCAAGGCAAGCCCAAACAAGTCCACGTTAGGTCTTAAATAAAATTTCTTCTTAAAAAAGCAATTAAAACCATAAAATCATTACCTTTTGTGTGAGAACTAAGAATTTAAGACCTAATGTGGACTTATTTGGGCTTGCCTCGAGGGGTGTGGTACAAAGGTGGCTCGTAGAATCAGGAATGTAATATGTTTTACATCACATTAGCTACTTAAAGCAATGCAATCGAGAAATAAAGAGAGTGCAGGTTTTATATGCTTGAAAATGTTTTATATATTTGATTTTATTTTTAAATTCTCATTGAATATGCTTTACATGTTATATTTATGTATTTTAATATTAGATAATAGGTTTTTTAAAACATTTATTTTAAAATTAAAGTTTATATTTTTATTAATATTATGTTTAATATTTTTTATTTTTACATTTTTTTAATTTGTTTTGGCATATTTTGAATTTTTAGCCCTTTTTTTATTTTTGTGCCTTGCTTAAAAAGGCATGCGCCTCGCCTTGCGCCTTTTTTGAGTTTTGCGCTTTTAAAACACGGGTTTTTTGGAGTGTTGTGCTTACATCTTGCCTCCTTATTAATCGGATGCCTATGTCTATCCTTGAAGGTCATTCTCCCTTCTCTATTTTGTTCCCCACTTTATCTCCTTTCCCTCTCACTCCTAGGGTTTTTGGATGTGTTTTGTTCATAATCTTGGATTTGGAATGGAGAAATTAGATGCACGATCTTCTAAGAAAAGAGGAAAGTGCGTATGGAATGCAATAAGAGCAGCTACAGTATGGACTATATAGGAGGAAAGAAACCTAAGAACCTTTTCAAGAAAAAGCAAAACAAAGGAGGAAGTTATTGAAGCCATAAAACTCATAATTGCACATTGGGTGAAGACCATGGAGATATTCAGAAACTACTCCACGAATGAGATACTAAGAAATTGGGCTGAAGTAGCACAAACAGATGTACCCAAGGTACTTGTAAGCATGGAATGGAAGCCACCAGCACTGAACAAACTAAAACTGAACTTTGATGGGAGTTCTCTTGGCAACCCAGGAAGGGCAGGCATTGGGGGTGTGTTTAGAAATCATCTGGGTGTGGTGGTGGCACTCTACTCAGGACCAATAAGTTTTGGTGACTCAATACATGTTGAGTCTCTAGCCCTACTTCAATGTCTAAAGATGGCTGAGCAGATAGGAACAACAGACTTAGAAATAGGAGATTCGCTATTGGTCATCTCTTGGGCCAAAAACATCACATCAGTACTTTGGAAGCTCAAATTTATCTTCAGAGAAATTGGCACACTTGCAAGGAAGCTCAACTCTCAGTTTGGTTGGGTCAAACGGGATGCAAATGGGATGGCAGATACCCTAGCAAAACAGGGGGCAAATAGATCTTCATTGTTCTGGGCAGAATTGTAACTAATTGCTGGAGATTGTAGTTTATTCCTCTGCAATCTTTATCTATTGTAACTTAATTTCTCTGTTATTAATGAAAGTTTTTTGCTGACAGAGAAAAGGAAGTATGTTGGGTGCCAAACCAACTAAAACATCCATGGAACCAAATGTCAAATTGAGTAGTGATGCAAGTGAGGAGTTTGAAGATCCTGGAAGGTACGGGAGGTTGATGGATAAGTTGAATTATTTGACCATTACTTGGCTAGATATATCGCTTGCAATTAGTGTGGTAAGTCGGTTTATGTAGAATCCTCATGTTCCACATTGAGATGCAGCTCTAAGGATTGCACGGTACATGAAGGGAGCTCTAGGTTTTGGCTTGTTATACAAGAGTAGTGTAAGTCTTAAGATAGAAGGCTACACAGATATTGATTGGGCTGGTTCAATATCTAATAGGAGGTTCATTATAGGGTATTGTACCTTCCATGGCACACACTACATGTGAACTAGTATGGTTGAGGAATCTCTTACAGGAGATGGGATACACTTATAATACCCATATGAAGCTGTATTGTGACAACCAAGCTGCAGTCCACATTTATTCTAATCCAGTTTTCCATGAGAGAACAAAACATATAAAAGTTGATTGTCACTTTGTGAGAGAAAAAGATGCTTAGTGGAGTGATAAGTATTGCATATGTAAACACAGGAAGTCAATGGGCAGCCTTGTTCACCAAAGGGTTGGGTCAGGGAAGAGTGAATTACATGTGCAACAAGCTGGGACTATATGACATATACTCACCAGCTTGAGGGGGAGTGTTAGAATCGGCTGTGGGGTTAGTTTGGTTATTTTGTTTTATGTTAAGAGTGTGGTGTAATGTCTTTTATATTCTAGTTTAAGTGTTGTGCCCCATACTTAATTAGGGACATAACTGTCTTTGTGATTTTAATTAGAAACCTATAAATAATATCTGGCCAACTAGAGACAGGATTATTCTCTCTAGTTCGCACCAGTCTTTCTCTCCTACTTCTCTTCTCTTCTCTTCTTTCTCTCTTCTCTCTTTATCCTCTGCTCTTCTCTGTTATTCTAGGACTGAAACCAGTACATATCTGAACTAAAACACCAACAAATTACAACCATAACCCTACCATAAACAAATGCATAAAGTTTTAGAAAATGTCCAGATTTAGCACGTTGGCTCCTGCACTAGAAACGCAAACAAGAAGCCCCAAAATCTTAAATAGGACAAGAACTCAAATAAAAAATAAGAGAAGAAAAAAAGAAACAGACCTTTCAAAAATCAGACCAGGCAAGGGTCAAACCATCACAATCCATCCCAAGGCCTCAACCATAACATGGATCACAAAAACCACAACTTTTCATGCAAACAAGCCACCCTGGTGGACTTCATCCCAACCTCTCAAGAACCAAATAAAGATCAAGAGGAGCAGTTGAAGTTACAGCACTTAAGCAAGGTGGAGGAACAAGTATCCGATTACAGTACTGATTCAAGCAAGTCTTTTAACAGCATGGATTGCCTCCCTGGCTGTTGGAAAGTGAAGCAGTTGGTGGAGTTTTATGATGATGTGGTGACTGCGAATATAAGAAAAGATACCAGTGCCTCTTGGGGAAAGGGAAGAAGGAGCGGGGGGGGAGAGAATTATTGGGTTAAATCCCATTGTTTTATTTGGATTATATTTTCTCAGCTTGGGTAGGAGTGGGTGCCAGCCCAGGCCTCTTTTGGCGTTTTTCCATGTTGGTGGTGGCTTCTTTAGATCTTGGTTAGGTTTTGTTTTTTTTTATGCTTTAGCATCAATTCTTGGTTAACTTCTGGATGAGCCTTCTTAATTGTATATCCTCCTATCAATTGGTAACTTGGAAGGTCGGGAGATAGCACTGACCTTTTTTTTGATGAATAATAATAAGTTTATTGATTCATAAGCAAATTAGAGTGAGTTCATACATCATCCCAACGAGAGGCGCGAGCTGCAGCCCCTCCTTGAAACTTACAAGTAAACTAGGAAAGAAAAACAAGAATCACAACTGAGCCCAAAATAATTCT